TTTGGAGAAAGTGAAAAATTAAATATCATCGACGCTCTACTGAATTACATATTTCAACCATAGTCCAATCCTGCAAAACATGATGACATAGTTTGAAGACTGCCGTTCAAACATTACAATTGATTAATTGAATTACTTGCATTCACTTAGTGAGGCATTCTCACCATATAGTATCAGCATATTGTAGTTCCTAATAACCCTCAATCAATGTCTCTACCTCTGTCCAGAGGCGTCCCACAAGGTTCCTCACTATCCCCCACACTTTTTTCCATCTACATCAATGACTTCCGAATTTCCTTCAACCCGACGGATTCCTCTAATGCCATCCTGAAACTGCAACAAGACATCAGTAGAATATGCGCATGGGCGAATCTTAATAAGCTGACATTAAAAACGGAAAAGCCATCCTGATCGGGTCCTCCTCACTCCTCAAATCCATTCCAGCACCTCCTAATCTTCTTCTGAACAACTCACCAACCTCCTTCCATACCGCCATTAGAAACCTTGGCGTTACCCTCTATCAAACCCTTCCTGGAAACCACACATCTCTCAAATCTCCCGCCGTACTACATCCATCCTGAACCAGTTTAACCATCTACGTAATCTTTTTCCGTTCAAAACCCGAACTCCATTTCCAATCCGATTAATCCCGAAATACACTTAAAAAACCTAAGCTGTAAGAATCTTAAAGTACACCCGATGATATTTTGGTTGCTTAATTTACTTTCTTTGTTTATTTTATATTTATACACGTTTTTATATCTTTTTTATGATATATAATTATATTTTATTCCTAATCATCATGTAAATATTAAATTGTATTTTATAGACACTCCAGAATATTAATATACTTTCTATATTTGTAACTTGTTCTAAAGGAACACTAGTCCCAAGATAATAAAATTATTTCCATTCATTCATTGATTCATATAAAGCTACAATGGTATTAACTATACTTGGTTTTTTGTTTTGCTTTTCTATATTCTACAGCATTGTATTTATAAACAATTTGTTCGTCATTCATTAAATGAATCCATATATATCAGCTAATGATGAACGGAAGAAGAAATAGCTCCATAGGTAATACGTCATAACAGTCCTACGACGTACTCCAAGAACAGCGGCACCTCAAGATGCCCCCTGGATGGGAGTGGGTCAAAGAGAGTACGCCCTTCCTGGACGCAGATACAGACATACAGCAGAAGGCACTATGGCTAGCGGTAGTGTACCTCTTTCCGTTACAGCACAACTGCAGCACCTTCAAGAGCAGTTAATGGTAGGCTCGGCTCATCTTATAGGGAGCAAATGGGCTCGGCAGGTAGCTCTTCTGAAATGTCCATCGGAGTCGAAGGAAAGAAGTGAAGTACTACTGAAGAGGAAATATGGACCAAAGTGAATATTTCTTATTAGTTGTTCTGGTATCCAATCTACAAATAAATATCACCAAAGTATTTCGCAGTACATTAAATAGGACATTATGATTAGGAAAAATAAATAATAAAACAGATCTTAACGAATAATCCAAACAAAAAAAAAATCTAGATATGTACACACATGTACTTAAAATGTTACACATTAAAAGTATAGAGATCAGAAAAAAACCCACAAAACTACAGTCTTTACAATCCAAGTTTTTTTTCCAAAGATAATAATAAAAGGTCCTAGGTACATAAAATACAAAACTTTGTATTCTGACCAAGCATCACTCAACATTTTATCAACTCTAGGTAGCTTGGCTCAGGATTTTTGGCGCCCTAATATACAAAATTTTATCATGCTATCCACGCCTCTCCTTCAACTCTGATCCCATCAATATGCGTAGACGTCTGAAAAGGAGCTGGTTAAGAGATCTCCTGCTGCAGAGTACTGTCCTACATGCTTGACATCTCATAACCAAATTTACTGATTTTCAGTATTTTTGGAGCGAAGTAAAGTTTAATTTTCTTATGATAAGAAGAAAAGAAAAGTAAGCAATGTTTCTCCTAATTTTGAGACATGTGTATTTTCTATATTAATCTGGAAAAGTTTTTTTTATAAACTCAAGAAAAAATATATATTTATAAACATCAAATATCTATGATTACTATATTTCTTTTTCTCTTCTTGTAAACAGGCCAGCCATGAATCATGCAAATATCTTTCCATTTTGACTCCCTTCTTCTTTTCCTTAAGGCTTTCATTTTTTAGAGTGTCTTCTTTCTTCAGTCTATTTCCTGCCACTATGGTTATCTACTCTTCCTTCAATCTATCAATTTATTTTCTAAATTCAACTGTGTCCTTGCAGTCTCTAATGCTAATTTTATTTTATTTTATTTTTTTAGGATCATTTCCCAGACTCTTCGTGTTGAATATTTATCTTTTTTTTTTTTTTTTAACCTGGTAGAATTCATTTGTGTGGAGTGGTTTCCTACTTTTCCATCTTCCCTATAAATTTCTTGATTTGATCTAAAGCGCTATGTTTGTTCCGTTATTTCGAGTCAGTGGATTACCTCAATATCCTTTTTAAACGTTAAAATAGAATGCTACAACTTATCCGTATCTTCAAAAATTAATACTTCAAGAAAGGAGGGATGGGGATATTTTATTTTATTTTTTTTTATTTAATGCAGTTTACATTCGAAATTCTATTGATCTGATAAGGTTAAAAATAAATTCTTTAGGGATTTAACCACTTTCTTTCGTCGCAACAAAAGCCACTATGGGCGCCAATTTCAGTTTATAATACGCCATAAGAAGCTTAATATTTTCAATTCGTCTATTTATTTTTTGGTTTCTTATTTTCAATAATGAACCATTGTAATCGACCAAAAAATTCAAAAACTTAACTCCCCTCAAAATTTTAGGTTTTACGTTTCAGCATACGTCCGCCGACCGCCATCCGCGCATTTTCTCCGAAACTACTGGACCTATTTTTTTCAAGATGGCGACTGGAAAACCGGCGTTGCTATAGACTGTAGCGCCTAAACGAATGTACCGATTTCAATGAAACTTCGCTAAAGTCTTATTCTATATGCCCTTTAAATTTATCTATATAACATACTTCCACGAAAAGAAGCTGGAAAAAAAGTTGCGAGGGGCGGTAAAATTACATTTACGAATAACTCAAAAAGTACACACTCCTTTGTTGATATTGTTGTTGGTTTTTTTTAAAGTTTACGAAATTTCCTTAAAAAAAACAAAAATTTGTTAAACCTTTGTTTAGGTTTTTGATTGTTGAAAGTGTTACTGAAGTAATGCTTTTTTTTTTCACCTTTAATTTTTTTTCTTTGTTACTAGGAAGATAATATTACTTTAAATGTATAATTGTTGTGGAAATAATAAACCGTTGTGAAATAATTTGCAGCGTTTTTTTTTTTTTTTTTTTTATTCACGTTCAAAATGTTAAAAAACCATTTAAGAAAACCTAAATATTTCTCAATATAATCTTTTATGCCACAAGTTGATTTATAAGTAGTCAATAAAAGAAGAATTATTGCTCAAAATAATGACGTGCCAACCAATGCTAAGCAACGAGATTTGAAAACCAAATCACCAATTTTTTTTTTTTTTCTCCAATATAAAATAGTTGTTCTTAGAATTGTATAAATAGGAATGATCAGTTTTACTGAAAAGTGCTTAAGAGAGGAATGACGAATTGCTGACAAATCTCGCTTAGTGATTCTGTATATATTTTCCCATTTAATGAATGTTTTTTTTTTTGTTTTTTTTTTTGGCTTTGTTCATTTCGAACAGAACTAATGTTAAACTTGACGATGCGGATTGCCAGAAGGAGGACATTAACGGGAAGTATTAAGTCGTCGATGCAGAGTTCCAACTAACCTCATGTAATTGTTGTAAAGAAAATCATTCTCTTTTCCCCTCCACAGCTACATCACAATTGTAAAGGAATCCGAACCGCGTCGGCAACAGAGCTGGTAAGAAGAAAGGACCGCGAAAAAAGAAAAGAAAGTATCTTCCGAGTGTAGAAAGAGAACAGGACGAGGAGGCGAATCTTATAGCAACTTCATCTTATTTTCTAGGTCCTGCTATTCTAGTTACTATTTATAACATGGCTACATCATAGTAAAAATGGGTCAAAACGTTAGTACACCTTAAATAACAATAGTTATATATTTTATATGATATGATATATTTTAATATTCACCGCCAAATATATAGCCCGTAGTACAGACCCCTTTTTATCGAATTATTAACATCCACCTGAAACTTCGTAAATAATTTCATCTCTTCGTAACCTACTATTATTTTATTTACGAAAACTATTGGAATTAGGGCGTTTTCAATCTCGAGGGGAATAAACTTTGTCTATTTAATTAGGCACTAAAAACTCGTAAATACCCATCTGCTTTCTACTTGGATCGTAAGATAATTTCATCTCAAAATACATTAAAAAAGTGGCCTTCTAAAATATTGAGCCGTTTGGCTTGACCTACACTCCCAAATTTTCAAAACGACGAGGTTATATAGGACTCCAATATTTTTGTCTATTTAATTACATACTAAAAACTCGTAAATACCCATTTGATTTCTGATTGGATAGTAAGATAATTTGATCACAAAAAAAATCGATAAAAAATGTGGCGTACAAAAATAAAAGGCTGTTTGTCCTATATAACCTCGTTATTTTGGGGTGTATGTCACGCCTAAGGGCTCAATATTTTTGAAGGCCTCCTTTTTTTATCGATTTTGTGATCAATTTATGTTACGATCCAAGTAGAAAGGAAATGGGTACTTACGAGTTTTTAGTACCTAATTAAATAGACAAAGTTTGCCCCTCTCCAGATTGAAAACGTCCCAATTCCAAGAGTTTTTGTAAAAAAAAATAGTTGTTGGATAAGTAGTTTCAACTTTGAAACTTTGACTGTTATTTGTTTTAGTTAACATATTTAGTTGAAGTTATTATTTTAATATTAAAACCACTTAACTAAAATTCAGTCCGAACTTTGTAACACTGTACCAATTAATGGGAATTCGAACTTTATTTTCAAGGTACGTTAAGGATGAATGCAGTTCCGATCATGAAGGTTTTCTCCGACAAAAGTACGCTGTTGTGTGGTATTCAATCGGCTTCCTATGACGTGTGAGAGAACTATTTGAACAGATGTTACCTGAGATCACACCTGATCATGTACCCATCATGTTATTGAGTTTTAATTCACTTATTGAAAATTTGTGATACATTTAAGGGACGGAAAAGAAAATTAAACATAAATTAAAAAATAAATAAATAAAGAGATAAAGTTGATCATTCGTAATTTAGGAATCGATGTTTTTAGAAACGAATAAAAATTAAAGATTTTTTTTCCTCGTTATGGTTTTTTTTTTTTTTTTCGGAGAAAAAGAATATATTGATCGTAAAAAAACAAACAATAACTATAATTTGTACTAAAATGTATCCGTTGATTATACATTAGGTAACTGTTAAATCCAACATAAAACGTTGAATTCCCAATATTCCTGAAAATTGTTTTATTATAATTATATTAAACGTTGTATATAAACCGAACAATAAAAGGTACTAGACGCCTTCGATCTTGTCTTTTCTTTCCTTTTCAATTTCCTGTAATAATTTAAAACTAATTTTTCTTTTCTTTTTTATATTGAGTATTTCAACAATATGTCTCATGGACATTAAAATTATTAATTGGGAGTGTGGCAGCTCAGTGGTAGGGCACTTATCTTCCATTGTTCAAGGTCCCGGGTTCGAATTCCCCGGACCCATGGCAGAAAAATATTTATTCTTTTTCATCAGCCGTGGGGCGACCCTGGGGTCAGGAGACCCTCCTGGGGCACATAAAGCCTCTATAAAGTGGTTATTCTTTATAGAGTTGGTTGGTGGTTATACTTATTTAAATAAAACCTGGCGGACGAGCGTGATCTAAGTCAAATTACCTCCTTGCACAATTGTTGACTAAGAAACAGTGCTTTCCCTATATAGTGCTGAATCCAAGACCCTTCGTGTAGTGGTACAGGTATTTACTAAATAATAAATTTACTTATAATTCCTAAATATGTTATATCATTAAGCCTCGAAATCGGTTTAGTATGAAATACCAAGTCCTGTCAGGTTTGAATGCCATGGAGTAAGTTGGATTCAGAATTTCATTCGGAATGATTTATTACTAAGGAATGAAAAATTTATTTCATAAACTCAAAAAGTACATACAATTAAGGATTAAAACCATGATGGTTTAAAATTTTTCTAAATTATCTATAAAACAAAAAAAGAATGATTGAAATTGGACCATTATTAGTAAAGATATAGCCACTTGAAAGTTGTTCATTAGAGAGCTATCCAACCTCTGGGCGAAGTTTGAACGCGCAGGGGCGTCTTCGTTGGTTCTTAGTACCACATGGCAAGTTTTAGTTAATTATAAAATTCTTTAATAGTTTATATTTAATCATTTTTTATTTCTAATAACGATGTTATATGTTTAATTAATTTAAATAAAAAAATTAAAGTGACGTTGGAAGAAAAAAACTTTTTAGCTATCTAAACATTTCATATATATGTAGGTGAAAGTAAAAATAAATTTTTCCTTTTTCATAATAGAGTGGATTTATGCATTTTCTTCTTAAGTTACTATAAATATTAAATAAAACGAATTGTTCAAAAATGTTTAAAAATTTTCCAATATGTCGACATGTTTTATCTTTTTTAAGTCTATGATAGATAGTCAACGGCTAGATCAATCGTATTTAAAAGTATTCTTCAGCCAGGAAGTCGGAAGAAGAAGGACGCAGAGAAGGCTTCCAACAACATTATTCAAAAAGCGGCGGTGATGAGTCAGTCCCCGTGGAGGAACTAAATCTTAAATATGTGCTAGTGACGGAGGGGGGGCTTCAGGGTCAACAGAATACATTACTGAGGGTCACCCTATCCCATCTTCGGCAATAACCATAGTTGATAGATAATAGGTTCACTGTCGATTCACAGTGCGGGGGTTCAGAGAAAGTTGAAAATTAATTATAAGTAAGGAACAGCTGAATGTGTTTTATAACCAATAAATACTATTTATTTTATACAATCGATAGATGTGACGCCATTGGTCTTAAGGAGATAAACATAAGCTTTATCGACATATGTATGTTACTTCTGAATAAGTGGTGTTTTCTTTGTTGGGTTATGATATGAAATATTTATACTACTTCAAAGATTAATAATGATTTTTTTTTAAATAAATAATTAATAGAGTTTATCCATCATTTTTTGTTTGTTTTTTCTGTTGACTACACAGACAATACATTTTGCTTATCTTAGACTATTTCTTTCTATTTATATCCTTCGCAGCTCTATTTCATCTCTGTTGATTCTATCTATCCATCTGCTTTTTAGACCTCCACGTGGTCTTTTGCCTTCTATTGAGGCATTCATAGTTATATAGAGGCTTCCATATGGATCGCTCCAAGCTACCCTCACCTTAACCTCCCCGTACCTTCATGTCATGAGATATTGATAGGCCAATTACTTTATTTGAGCCTCTTTATTAGTCTTCCTTTAATATGCTAATAGGTTATATACCTGAGATACTCCCATGTCTCTCACCACTACACTGAGTTATAGTGGCTCTTCCCCTCCATTCGAAGACAATATTTCCTAGGTTCGTTCATCTGTCAAATCATCGTCCTTCTTGCGCCTACAACCTTCTCCAAATTAAGTCCTCAGTTCATTCCCTTTCCACAAGATCTCGACCTTCTGACCTTTACATTCCTTCTCACAGATCTGTCTCATTCCAAAACTCCTTTATTGCTCACTCTGTTAATTTCTGGGATTCCCTTTCTAGCAAAATTCGGCATTCCCCCTCCTTATCTACATTTAAAACCCTCCTATTTCAAAATCTGTCCCAAAAACAGTCAGATACCCGCTAACATATTATTCATAATAATTTATATATATAAAATTCATCACTTAAATACTCAGACAATTCTTACTATTAGATTCGACTTTCTTTTTCCTTTTTTTTTTTTCTACAGAAACACAGAGCTTATACTAAGAAAACTGTAATGTATTTTTTTTCTAAAAGTGTATATTTATGTTTCACCACTGTAAATAATTTTAAGTGTCATGTCATGGTTTCAAGTATTTTGTATATAGTATGTTTTCTTTACTTATTTCTCTATATTTTTTACTTTTTATGTTTGTTTTTATTTAGGCCAGATATAATGTTTTAATTTTGTACATTTTTGTTATTCTAAAGGGGACTTAGTCCCAGAATAAAATTATTTTCTATTCTATTCTTATATTCTATTCCAGATCGCTCTGGTTATCGTGCAGAGGATTTTTTTTTTTCTCAAATCTGTCAATACATTTTTCTAGGGCACTTGCTAGTGTCCAGGTCTCACAGTCATATATTAGAACTGGATTTATCATAGCATTGTACACTTCTATTTTGAGATTTCTTGTTTGTTTGTTTTCCTATTTTTTTTTTTTTTTATATTTGCTACTATATTATTGTTTAAAAAATAAAAATTGAAAAGGGCAAAGGCAGTAGCCTTATCTTGCCCCCTCTGGATGCTACATGGAATATTAGTGACTGAACTCTACTCTCACTTTTAGTTTCAATATTAGCTTTTGAATGTAATATATGTTGAAGGATCTTGTTTACCTATTGTCAACAAAATCAAATTAATACATTAGTGAAAGTTGTTGTTGCTGGGTTCAATTAGGGTGCGTGTTAGCACTTTCTCCTGTTAGGCCCCTTCGGTGTTGCAGTCAATAGGCAATCACCAGCTGGATATTCGATATCGCTGTACCTTCACCTCCACAAAGGCACTCTGTAATTGGGATCGTGTGCTTACTTTGAGTATTCTCCGAACAGCGCATTCATCCTTTACGACATATTATTCGCTATACCTTAACTTCTATTTGCTTACCGAAGGTAGGAAAGCTTTGTATTTGTGAGGAAAGTTCGAAAAATATATATTGGTACTCAGAATAGAAATTCACATTCGCCTATGACATTTCGTGCGTAAAGCAACAAAGTTGTCATTCTGTCTGTAGCCAATTCCATAATCTATTCCCAAATTTTTCAAAATTTCTGAGTCAGAAGAATAAAGTTGAGATCCCCAATAGTCCATATTTAAAACCGTATGGAGAGGCTAGAGGTAGTGATATGCGAATCCCTAAAACCAGGGAAAAACCGCACAATAAATGTCAGAGGTAATGTAAAAAAGTCAAGACGCCTAAAGAGAATTTCTGAAGTAATAATTCAATCTATATACAAACCCTGAAAAAACAATTGCGAGTTAAGAGAAAAAAAAAAGTCAAGACTTAAAAAAAAAAATATTTTTTCCATAGCTCCTATTTATAGTTTTTTTAAAAATGTTTTTTATGGTATAAATATTCTTATTCTATTGTATATCTTTTTTATTCTCATAATGATTCCTTTTTTATCCTTTCTAATTTCCAATAAGGTGATGGGACTCATCTTTCTTTTTGTCTTGAACGTACAATAAAATTATGGATAAATTAACTTTTAAATAACTTTTGCCATCGTTGAGGTTTATGTTGGTCGAATATGCGATTTCTTATACTTTTTACTGATTCGTAAAATTTGAAATTCCTTTCATTTACTTTTGGTATTTTTAATTCTTCTTGAAGATAATAATTATTTTATTCCAAAAAGACACAATACGCATATATATATTTTTTTAAGTAATCCAATTTAGAGATACTGAGTGCACAAAACCTTAAAATTCTCTAAATCATCGAAAAACGATCAGAATAGGCTGAATTTTTAACTAAATTTTATTCCTACCGTTATATTGTTATTCTACTCTAAATTTCGCATTTAATCCATTGGTGTCATTGAAAGTTAGATGAAAGATGCCTCGAAACCTTCAAAACCACATTCGTGTTCTAGTGGTTATGGAGCAGATTTCTAATGAACATCCACCTACCTTCGATGTAGTGGAAAATTGAGTATATATATATTTTTTTTTTCTAATAAAGACTACCATACTAAATACTACCACAAGAAAATACTACCATTTTTATTTATTTATTTATTTTTGTTAAATGTTGGTCAACACTACGTTTGTGTTACCATAATTACAACTATATTTATTTCTGTAAATCTATTTATAATATTCGAAAGAACAGAATTGTGGCAATCGAAATGTGCGAATAAATTTGCTTCACAGGGATAAAGTCCGTCGTACAGACCCCCTTTTTATGAAATTATTAACATCCAGCTAAAATTTGATGAATGGCTTCATGTTATCACAACCCATAACTACTCTATCTATGAAAATTCTGAGAAATGAGGTGTTTTTTTACTAAATTAATTAATTTAACGAGGCACTAAAAACTCATGAGTCTTTTTGCTTTTCACTTGAATCGTAAGATAATTTGATCTCAAAATCGAAAAAGAAAAAAAAAACGGCCTACAAAAATATTGGGCCGTTTGGTCTGTATAACCTTGTTATATTTTTGTAGGCTACCTTTTTTCTCGCTTTTGTGATCAAAACATCTTACGATTCAAGTGGAAAATGGGTGTTCATGAGTTTTTAGTACCTAATTAAACAGACAAATTTTCTTTTTTCTGGGAAGTTGTATGTTATTCTTTGTTATTTGGCAATGATGACTTTCAATTAAACAACAATTGAATTTATTTGTTGTATTTACATGTTAACGTTTCGCGATATTTACTCCCATCTTCAGAACTACAATCCAAATGATTTTTTGTTGATACATGGCTTAAATCTAATGTGCTCCATCGTCAGGTTCTAATTCAAATTATAATAAATTAAAGTATATAACATCCAGAGCAACATTATACTAAAAAAAAATTGATAAACAAAGTTTTTCATGCTCCAGATTGAAAACGTCCCAATTCCGAGAATTATCGTAAATAAAAAAATCGTAGGCTACGATGAGATGAAGCAATTCACGAAGTTCAGGGCGGATGTTAACAATTGGATAAAAAGGGATCTATACCACTGACGGATGAACTCTTTTTATAGGACAAATTACCAATATATTCAATAAATGCCAATATTCTAACAGAGGTATTGCGCAGTCAATCCGTAATCACTTACGTAAAACAAAACAATAAATAACATAGTCTAATATAGATCAGGCAACTGGGACAAGGAAAAACAAGAAAAAATGAAGAAAACGTCACTTTTACTGTGTGTTATCTATCCTAGATAGGGTTATATTACAAGGTAATGATTCACCTTGCCTGCTACTGAAATGATTCAAGCTCATGACTCAACATCGCCCATCATCCGCGTCTTTTCTGATAACTCGGGAAATTACCGAGAAATAGGTAACCGGAGCGATCACGATAAATGAGAGAGTTCCGAAAAAGAACAGCTCTTATCAGGGTATCTCTAGTCGAGAATTAGTCACTAGTTAACAGGGAAAGTAGATAGTGTATCTTGTTTTAAAGGGTGGGAAGATCTTCAATGTTTTTACCTAAAAAATATAAATGTTCAAAACTAACAAAAGATGCAATTTTTATTAAATTTAAATATAATTAAAAAAATGAAAGTGGTTCAATCTATCACGCATCACAATAATCAAACTGTACAATATGGGAAGATGGGTTTCCCTTCGATAATACTATCAACCGTTTCCTACGATGAGCAATCTGGTGACAAGATAGCAAGGTTGATAGAACAAATACTCCGTTATTTTATATCTGTAATAATAATATATTATATTATTATTGTAACCTTTATTATACTTTTAAATACTAAATATAATTTAGACACCTCACCTTCTTAGTATGTTCTACAGTTTATGAATACGAGGTTGATTTTTTTTCCTTCGTATCAGGAGGCACGCAGGTATAATTTCTAGGGTTAAGAATCTCGCATGACCAGTACTCTAAGAGAGGTATTATCAAGATTAAAATATTACTTTCCTCTTGTAAAATTTCATTATGTTATATAAATATGATCATAAATAATAATATTTACTAAATTTTATGTACATATATACATATAGGGAGTGGGGTAGCTAGTGGTAGGATAATGATCTTCCAATGCTAAAGGTCTCAGGTTCGAATCCCGGTTCATAGCAGATAAATTATTTATTCGGTTTCATTGGCCGAGGGACGACCCTGGGAAGGTAGACCCTCCTGGGGCACATTCAGCCTCTATAAAGTGAGTACCTTTCATTAAAATAATTAATTAAGAGGAAAAACCTGACGGTTTAGCGTGATCTCGGTCAAATCACTTCTTTGCACAATTGTAGACCAAGAAACAGTGCTTTTCCTGAATAGTACAGAACCCAAGAACCTTCATGGGTTGTAGTGGTACAGGTTTTGTTTGTTTATATGTATGCACACACACATGTACCTATGTAAATATAAATTACACGACTGCCAAACGAGGTATAGCGACGGCACGGTATACCATGTCAATAATTTTATTCTAAAATTCCCGTGCAGAAAAAAAAAATTATTTTGTACCGATGTTTCGGCCAAAGTTTCAGATTTTCATCAGGGATCCTACAACTACCAAGTACGTAAACATTCTTAAAAATGGATGTTTTGCAATTTTAAGTTATTTCATTTATGTTGGCAAAATTTCTAGTGCTATAAGTATCTGATTTAATCGAATATCTTATCGTTCGTCGTGGTTGTTGAATTGTTATTTTTCCAAAAAATAAATATTAGGTTGAAGTGTAGTAAGTGCAACCATGGGGAAAATATCACCATGGCTCAATTTTGTCCTAAAAAATGATTATCTTTTAGTAAAAAAATCACTTAGTTTGTAATTTTAGAACATTTTCTTTAAATGTCTACCAAATATCTTGAGAAAATCCGGCGTATATGTATTGTTTTTGTATTTTTTTAAAAAAGCACTTTCAATCCAGAATAACCAAACTTTCTATTTTTAAAAATTTTAATGTGTAGTTTTCAGAAATATAACTTATTTTGGTAATGGGTTAATGCCCCCATCGGAGACTACTGTAAGTACAATCTTGCCGTTTGTACATGTCATATAGTAAATCTTACTCAGTTTAGCTAAATATAATCAATAAATCACACAAAAGACTCATTTTTTTAATTTTATCCATTTTCCTTCCTTCGTTGACTAGCGAAAAAGTTCGTATCTCCCAAATGGCTTAAGATAATAAAATGAAAAAAACAATGGCAGAATCAGTAAAAAACAAGTTATAACACACTTGCCTCTCTCATTTATATCTTCTCTTATGAAGGATCCTAGAGTGAGGTTGAACTTACCCAATATATCCGAGTATGTGTACCTGTAGGCATGAACATTTAATTTTTTTTTTATTTACTGAAAATACTATTAAACATTCTAATTGCTGGATATTGTAGCCAGATAATCCTAAATACTGTGTGCTGAGTTGTATTTCCATATTTCTAATAGTCTTGCTTTGCCTTCCACGGTGGGGAGAAAAAGCCTGGTTCGGAGATTCTTGGGCGAATGTATATAGTTCTGATTGTGTTTAGAAGTTTTTATTTGTTTATTAATATTATTCTTTCTGTTCTTTTTATTTACCTTCTTCATCAGTATTATTTATTTACTTCTTATATTTATATTTATTTCTTTATTATTTGTATATATTGTATGAATGAGAACTTTTAGCCCTAATGCTTATAGCCCTCCAGCAGTGGCTGATTGTTTACCTCACAGTTTAAAATAACAAGAAATAAAAAATAAACCTGTTTGCATTTGCCGCACTTAACCCTATTTTATTTTTTATTATTTCTTTATTATGATCTATACTTTAATGAGTTATTAAATTATCATCTGTCACAACTTAGGAGAGCAGTGGTAAAAGTAATCCCCGATGGTTATGGCACTACAGATGAAAGCACTCCAGTGTTGAAGAGGATGTAGGAATCAAGTTGGGCTTCATCAAGCCTAACATTCATGCTCTGATTGTAAACAAGGGTTCCAACTGACAAATATTGATATTTGCAATTGAAATGCTCGAATTCGTGACTGTTATTTTATAAACTTTTATTTGTTGAATTGTCTGTTTATTTTCAGTATTGTTACTGTTGCTCTTCTTATGTAAAATGGTTGATGTTGATTTAATTTGTTATGCACTGGCGGATCCAGGATTTAAATTTGGTGGAGGAGGACTTCAGCCCTGAAGATTTTTTTTTCATATATATAACAATAATTAATTTGAAAAAAAAAAGAATGAAACTAACTACCATGTTATTTAAGTGATTCTTGAAGTCCAATTAAATGTAATTACACGAACAATAATACTTTGAGAGATAGTTTTTAATATTTTTTTGTATAAAACATGGTCATATTTTACCATTTTGGGAAGCTTTAGCCCGAAATCCACCCCCCCCCCAGTAGATCCGCCAGTGGTGTGTGATTTTTGGATTTTCGGATTTAGATCTAATTTATCATTTTCTTAAGCAGATTTATTTTAATATATGTTATATTGTTTGATTAACTTTTTTTTGAAAGAGTTTTTTCTTTTTTTCAATTCAAAGGTGTTGAAATACCGAAAAATCTCTTAAAATCTCAAATTAAGAGTATGCAATGCTATGATAAAGCCAGTTCTGATATATGATTGAGAGAAGTGGACACTGACAAGCACCATAGAAAGGTTTACGAGAAACTGCTCACAGAATCTGATCAATCAGTATCTTATAACATTAAGGCAAGGAGGTTAAGATGATATGAAGTCTCTACATAACATTGAATGCATCGATAGCAGGTCAGAGACTACATGGAAGTCCAAAAACTAGGTCGATAGATCGAATAAATAATCCTTAGTAATAAAATTATTTCATGTAAATTTTATAACATATTTTGATTTTAACATATAACATATAAGTATATAACATCTCAGGTACTACTCCCAGTTAACGGCGTTAAGACTAGATAGATAAACAACACTATTAGTTCAAATGTAACTGACTAATCGACTAATCATCGTATTAAATTAACATAACAACATAATACGAAACGTTGAGACTGATTGGTACAGATAATTTATTGAGATTTAACTGGAATAATTACCAGAATATCCTTTAATCCTTGGAGGAATGTTCTTCAACTCCTTTCCCACGGTTCGGCCACGCTACGTGGAGTTTCTAACTGGGGCAATGGGCTAGGTGTTTGAGTACTGTGTACCGTGTACTGTGTACTGTACAACACGCCCGCTACAAAAAGTTCGCCATACTCTTAAGAGAATCCAACATGTTCCTTCCTTCTTCATCGGCACAGTTCTCCCATGACTAGAACACAGCCTCAACAATAATCTGGGACAAGTACACCCCATCAACCTGGTGTGCGCTCAATCAAAGAGAATGCGATCCTTGGAATTTTTTTTTAAGATATGTTGGAAACAAAGTATATGCGTTTTCCTCATGTATTGCTAAAGGACACAGGAGGGGTACCGATCTCCACCAAAGTCGATGGTGCATGAATCTTTCCTCTCTCTCCCACGAAATCTTATTGCTCTCTTCTTAAAAACAAAGCGAGGAAAATAAGGATTTAAAAAAATCTTAGATCATATATAATTGCAGTTAAGATGAACATATACAGAGGAAAACAGTGTGACAGCTACCCCCTACCACTTTGTAGTGCAACATGTTTTTAAAAAAATGTATATGTATATATATATATATATATATGTATATGTATATATATATATATATATATATATATATATATATATATATATATATATATAATAATGCTGTTAAGAAGAAGAAGAAATATTACATCGTTTAGTAATTGTAACATTAAACTGAAACACAAAGACTGCACGTATTGAGTCGTCATTCTACGGCCCACCTATAGTCCCATTCAATCTGCCCTTTAAATTAATTTGAATTTCAAAATCCGAAGACAAAGGCAATTGTAAGACGTGTGATTGTAATTATCAATGCGTTTGTTCATGTTTGAAATTATAGATCAACCAAATGTCATTCTTCTGTCAGTAATAGGATTTTTACATCAAATAAAAAAAACTTCAAAGCATTTGAAAATATCTAAGATATTAAAATCTTATTTTAAACGAGAAATATTTTAAACTTTCAATGAAAACACGTAACTGAGGTTTTTAAATTAATAGAATCTATATAAATAAAATAAAGATTTTGTCTGTTCATTGAATAGAATTAACCCGTTTTATGACATCTTTCCGTTTCATACATTGCAGACACCAAATACACTTTTAAAAATTTTTTTGTCTGTCTATATGTCCGTATTGCAACAAAATTTTGTCAGGGATAAGCACAGCAATGGCTTATTGTAAACTTTTGAAATTTTGACATTATATTAAGGTTTACTTGACTTAAAACATAGGCTTTAAATGAAAACAAAATATTGAATAGAACCAGAGTTATGAATTCTTGGGTAATTTATCTAGAGATCCAGGTTAGGCAGTTATTTCGATTCTCATCCCAACCTACTCTACCGCGAGCCATATTTAACAGTTGTACTATTCAAGTGATGGAAAATATTATCACAACTCAACGGAAAAAATCCGAAATACCAAACATCTGTAATGCTTAAAACACACTAATTTTTCAACTTTGTCCGATCTTCCCGTTCAAGGCATCATCCTATTCAACTTCCCGAGCCTAACAAATGATGTTGTATACATTTTTAGGATTAACCAAACGGGTTAGCCGGAAATCGGAAGAAAAACTTCTAAAAATTAAAATTACCTCTCTCCCTTCGCCCAATGTTTTGAAATTAACTCCTCTCTCTCCTCCCCCATAATACAATATCCATCTCAAAAAAAGATTCTCAAATTTTAACTATACACGCGTCAACAATGGGTACATCAGCTAGTAGTTAATAAAATTAAGTTAAGCCAATTAACTTGACATATTTATAATTCTTCAAATATTACTAATGAATTTTCAATAAATATTAAAAATATTTATAAATCCTACCTTTTTTTTTATTATTATTGTTATTATTTTACTGTATCTACTCAGACTTTTCGGCACATTTCAGGCTATTTCTTTCCAGTTATCTGCGTGCAGTTCTACTTGTTGATTTGATCTATCCATCTGGAATTTAGCCTTCCACTTGGTCTTTCGCCTACTCTTGTGGTATCCTTTATTGTATAGAGGATTCCAGATGGATTGCTCCAACCTACATGTCACACCAATCTTAACCTTCTCGCCTTCATATCCTGAGATATTGACTGACCAGTTTCTGTAAGCAGATCTTTGTTAGTCCTTCTTTCATGCGTTAGTACTGAGATCCTATACCACTCCGGTTATCGTTCGGATGATTTTTCGCTCAAATCTTTCCATACTTCTTTCTAGGATGGTCAGTTTCCAACTATTGCAGGTCTATATCAGAATTAGCTTTAACATAGCGTTGTACATCCTTAATATATCGTAAGATTTTATAGATAAGATTGCGATATTTTTGAAAGTGAGAAGAAAGCTCTGTTTGTTCTTATTATAGCTGTTCTATTTCTGACCATTTCATTGAGGTTATTGTGAAACCGGGGTATTTTAATTTGTCTCGTGAAATTTTCATTTACTTGTAGACCTCTGCACTGTTTCTCTTATCAGAGGATTAGCTTGTCTCTCAATAACTTCTTGATTGCTTTCAAGGACAGAATTACGTTCACGTTAATCGTAAATTATGTGAATATTTTATTATTAGTCTTTTGATGAAAAAAACTTCAAGTTCAACTAGTGATTGAGAAAATAAGAAGAAGCTAGGAGCGTAGTTAGTAACACGGGCGGATCTACGGGGGGGAGGAGCTTTCGGGCTGAAGCCCCCTCCCCCAAAGTGGTAAAATATAACCATGTTTTATCGAAAAAAATATTAAAAAAGTATCTCTTAAAGTATTGTTGTTCATGTAATTACATTTAAAATGGCTTAGGAATCACTTAAACACCATTTCATATAAGTAGTTAGCTTCTTTCTTTTTTCCCAAAGTAATTATCGTTATTTTTATGAGAAAAAAAAACTTTCGGGCTGAAGCCCCCCCCCAAAAAAATAAATCCTGGATCCGCTAGTGGTTAGTAAGTTTCAATATCCATTTTCCGGCTCTCAGGAGTGATGGAATAAGATATCAGTAGAAAGGTAAAATCAGGTAGATTGCGCGAATAGTAATTTTGACTCCTAATTTTATAACCGGACTTAAATAAAAGTGAATGTAAAAGTGAGAGGTTTGAGACCGATGGTGCCGTCTCAACGCATCGGGACGTTACAAATGAATTCGTAATTTGCGTTTAACTTGAAAAGTTCGCAATTTTTTGTTGATTATACATATAAGTGTTTGAAAGCTTACTAAATTTTCTACAAAACGTAAGAAGAAATCATAGAATTTGGACGATAGATCAAATAGTTATTGCGTTCTGAAAATTTAGTATTTGTTGTAGTGCAAAGTATATTTGTTGGATATTGTATATGGAAATTGGCCCTTTTTCTCCGGGATACCGTAATGCATCAATTAGTAATATTTTTTTTACTTATTATTTATGAAATTTACAACTGTACAAATTAATATACATTCAGCAAATGTGTATATATATATATATATATATATATTTTTTTTATTTCAAAACATTAAAATATTCTTTTTAATTAATAAAATTATTTATTTTTTTTTAATTTTAAATGTGTCTTCCTTAAAAAACTTCTTGGAGTGATTGTCAATATGCTTCCATTAATTTAGCTTTTTTTTTTTTTTAAATTATGAAGTAACATACATCCTGATTACACTAACTATTTCTCTCTGATAATTTGAGCCTTTTGTATTTTGCCGTCATCAGATGTTTTAAGCAATGTTTAGAAGCTTTTATTAATTTATGATTATCTGTGACAGAAAAAGCTAATTTTTAAATTATAAGTTTAAGGTCCGACTGCTCCAACACTTACTAGACAAACGCTCCAAACCTTTCAATTAATTACAAAAGACTTATCTACATAACTATAATAAGACCTATATGGACATACGGAGTTGAGCTTTGGGGCTCCACCAAACCATCGAATTCCTATCAATCCAAAATCCTCCGTAAAATCCTTAATGCTCCATACTTTGTCACAAATAAAACCATTCATAAAGATCTTAATGTACCATATGTCGCTGATTTAGCTCGAGCCAGATATCTATCCTTTCATAATAAACTTCAGTCCCATCCAAATCCGCTTGTTTCCACTCTTGCTTCTTCCTCGATTCCTGGTAATCCTCCTAGGCGTCTGAAAAGGAGATTGCCTCGTGATCTTCTTACTTAAAATTATTTAGAGAGTGCTACCACTGGGTAGTATCTCTTCAAGCCTGTACATGCCATTATTTATATTTGCACATATTTACTAGTTGTATTTGTATACAGTTGTAAATTTCATTAAATAAACAAAAAAAAAAATAAGTTTAAGGAGAAGCAATGGTTAAACCATGGCGGATTGTAAATCATATTTATAACTGATGGCTTACTAAATATACGTATTAAACCTTTGCGTCTCAAACATTATTGAATAGTAGTTGTGCTGAGTCCTTAATGTATTAAAATCAGATACAAATATTAGGTTTGTGCGGAATATTCGCACGGGTCAGCTAGCTTTATGTACATTGTTGCAGTTTTTCAAGTCGCTTTATTGGATTGAATAAGGATCTGTCCAACGCACTGCCTCGACCACAACCTATGATCCAAAAGAATACCTCCTCCAAGTCTGTTTGATAAAACTGAGGGAAAAATGGCTGAGAACCTAAAAGCTGTACTACAAAGGCAGCCGTTGGATATAACTGCCTTAAGTGTGTGGTTCAGATAACGGTCACTGCTCAGCCCATTAATTGAAGGTACCGTAGTTAATTCCCGAGTGCCCTGTTAGCATTAACTTCGTAAGGTGTACCTCCATTTTCTTTTCTTTTTTTTTTTATTGATATTACTATTGAAATCATTCTTTCTCAGGAGATAACAGTATTAGAATAACAATTAAACATGACGTTCACAACAACACTTTGCATGAACCAATGTGTCAAGAAGATAATAGAAATCGTTCCACTGAGGTAATAAAAACTTAAATGTTAAAAAAACAAACATAATGCATGGATTTATGACGCCGTAAAATAGCAGTAAATTATTCCTGGGCACAACCGGTTTGCCGGCAGCAATAACACTTTGAGATACACCAGGTCGTGGGCTATCTAGCTTCTTCCATAGCCAACTATATCTATTAAAGATTTAGTAAACATCGTTTTCTTTTTTTTTTTTTTTTTTTTTTTGCCTGTTTTTAACAAACATAAAAATTCATTCACAAATTATACGTACAGAAATATGAAATATTTGAAGAAAAAAAAAACTATAATATTAATCAAAAAGAAGAAAATTAGTACCAACAGCATGAACATATAAATAGTTATCAATAAATTTAAGTTAATTTTTAACTTAATTATCACATGTTAGGTTTTAAAAAATTAAAATATTGCTATTTATGATAGAAGGAGAAGAAGAAAAAGTATTTTTATTTATCAAAATTACATAAAATCAATTACAAAATAATATTTTTGGATTTAAAACCGAAAATCAGACGTGCTACATGGTCTGTTGATCGTCAGAGGAGTCTGTGTTTTATAACAAAATTATATTTTAATCTATTTATATACAACTAATTAATAACGAAATAAGAACAATTATATTTACAATGTAAAAGTTATATAAATATTTTAATTATAAATAAAAGTGGTACCAAAATTCTCCAATTTATTAATTGTTAAATTCTCTGGTGAGCATTATTCTATAGGAGAAAGCAGACTTGCAGTAATTTACCAATGCTATCCAATTGTTTCCATTTATTAAATATATTACTTGTATTTATGATAGTTTTCTACGAATCAAAAATCTAAATTGAAAATGTTGATGGAGGAGATATAAAAACTATGATCCCGTACACACTTCGGCTAATAGAAAAAGAAACTTTTTGATATTTTCAATAAATAAATAAAATATCCAGACATGGCTTCAATGCTGTTAGTCGCAGTAATAGATTTTTATAATCTTCGTTGGTGCGAGACACTAGTGGATCCAGAATTTAGTTTTTGAGAGCTTCAGCCACAAAGATTTTTTTTTGTTTAATATATAACAATAATTACTTATGAAGAAAAAGAATGAAACTAACTACCTACATGAAATAGAGTTTAAGTGATCCTTTAAGCACTATTAAATGTAATTACACGAACAATAATACTTCTAGAGGTAATTATTAATTTTTTTTTTCATGAGACATGGTTATATTCCAAAAATATTAGCACTACAGATAATCAAAAAAGAAATCGCATGGTTTAGGTACTTACATAATCTGATAGAACTGCATGGATTAAATTTCAACTTAAATCGATCTAACTGTGATCTAACTGTTAAACTATGAAGAACTAATTTATAATTACTAAGAAATCAATTTCATAAAAACATGTTTAATTAATGTTCAGAATTATAAAAATTTGTCTTTTTATCCACATTTAAATTCAGTAAATTATATTGATGACAAAAGCTCATTGAAGGTCATCAGATGGGTAATTAAAATTAGAGCTGATGTTTTGAACTTAAATTATAAACACTTCAAGCAAACAAATAATATTTGTAGCATGTGTAATACAAATGAAACAGAAGATCTCTATCACTTCCTGACATCTTGTCCGATACTCTCTGAATTTAGAATTAAATGGTTAGAACCTAGAAATTTATCTCGGGATCAAGTAATAGATTTAATAAATGGAAACAATTGGATAGCATTGGTAAATTACTGCAAGTCTGCTTTCTCCTATAGGATAATGCTCACCAGAGAATTTAACAATTAATGAATTGCAGAATTTTAGTACCACTCTTTTTGTAATTAAAATATTTAGAATAGAATAGAAAATTAAACTTTATTCTGGGACTAAGTCCCTTTAGAACAACAATGATGAGTAAATACAAAGTAAAGTACAAATCTGGCCAAAAACTAACTTCTAAAAATTTTAATATTATATACAAAAAAGTATCTAACCAGTAAAAAATAAAAAATAATATATATATACAAATGAACATAAAATCTTCTCAAAATTACTTAATTGTGATGAAAAAAAAAAGAAGAGAAATTACATATTTATATATACATAACTACACAATTTATAAACAATAGGCTACCTAATAGAAAATTAACTTAATACAAAATGTAATAATATCTATATATATATATATATATATATATAACTTTTTTTCAAGTTTATTTATTATCAGACAATTTTAGAACAATTTTTAAATTTTGTAAACATTTTTTAGACTTGAAAATGGTTTAGCGAGCCGAAACGTCGTAATTAGATGTGTAGTCATTAAGTTGACAAAATCTAAAAATTAGTGTAAAATTGACTGATAATGAATAAATTTGAAAATATATTTTTTTTTTTTTTATTGAGTATCAATACAGTCTGCCACACTGAAGGGCATTGGTACTAGGGCTATAGCATTCATTCACACAATGTGTACAAAAGAAAGGAAAAAAAATGTATATATATAAATAAAAAGATAAAGTAATATACACGTGAAAATAAATAGTATACACCAAAGAAGTGTGAAATATTGTGAATATTTATATAACTTTTACATTGTAAATATAATTGTTCTTATTTTCTTATAAATTAGTTGTATATAAATAGATTGAAATATAATTCTGTTATAAAATACAGACTCCTCTGATGGTCAACAGACCATGTAGAACGTCTGAATTTCGGTTTTAAATCCAAAAATACTATTTTGTATTGTTTTTTATTGATATCACAAGCGGATTTACGGGGGAGAGAGGGGGGCTTTCGGGCTGAAGCCCCCTCCCAAAATGGTAAAATATAACCATATTTTATAGAAAAAATATTAAAAACTATCCCTTAAAGTGTTATTCAATTACATTAACTAATTCATATAATTCAATATAACTTATTCAATATAACTTACTTTATATAATTCAATTACATTTCTTAAAGTGTTCATGCAATTACATTTAATAGAACTTCAAGAATCACTAAGACACCATGGGTAGTTAGTTTCTTTTTCTTTTTTTTTCAAATTAATTAACGTTATATATATGAAAAAAAAAATCCTTCGGGCTGAAGCCCCCTCCCCAAAATTAAATCCTGGATCCGCTAGTGATTGATATTATGTAATTTTGATAAATAAAGACTTTTTCTTCTTCTTCTTCTTCTCCTCTGTTTTTATTTTACCATTTTGGGGGGGGGGGGGCTTCAGCCCGAAAGTCCCCCAGCCCCTCCCCCTTTCCGTATATCCTGTAGAGAATAAAAAATCAAGTCTCTCCTGCCACCCAGACAAATAGGTCTTGAACGAAGAAAAATGAAGTTCAGAGATAACGGTTTCTTATTGCTTAACTATTAAACTGAAAGGATATTTTCTAGTGGGGCAATATAATAATATAAAAATGATTCATTATTATCACTTCAGATGATAAATGTTTGAAAAAACAGTATTTTAAAAATATTTTTTATTATAAATAAAAAAAAATATTTTTTAATAGTTATGTTTATATTCTTTACCAGATCATGTAAAAAAAAAAAATAAAGCTTTGCAATAATTTACTGCAGTCGTTTCTACTGAATACATAGGTACGATTGGATGACAGGATACCAAATCATATTATGTTTTATAGATGTTACTACAGATGAATCTGAACGTATTCAGTTACAAACCTCGTCATACAATAATATAGATTACTATATACAGATTATAGTAAGTAATATGGATTTAAAGTTTATTAAACAAGCGAGTTTTTCTAAAAGTGGGCTATCTGTAGTCTAGTTGGAGGGAAACAATAAAAAACTTGTTAATTTAATTTTTACATTAACAGTCGATGTATGAAGATTTGTCAATCGTGTATGTTGAATAGAATTTCATGATATTATATTGTATGTACGAACAAGCATGTTTTCCTGTATCGCTTATACGAAGACTGCATGAGGGAGAATAATAATCTTCTAATTTATGCTATATATCTTTGCTATATACATTTATATCACAATGAGTACTCCGTCATATAGTCGTATCTTGCAATCTAGTCAGCAAGCCGAAGTAGGTTTGAAAGACTTCCAGAATTGCTTTGGTGATATTTATCCCTCGCCTGGAGTGGGTTCGCCTTCACGACTCATCCAAATCAGCATTTCCAAAGTTCAATCGTCATCAGAAATCACGCTTGGGTTGGCATTCTCCAAGATAGCACCCCTTCCCGAGGGTCAGCCACACAATTATAGTCCTGGTCGATAGCAGGAGGAGGTATCGGTTCTAGGTCACCATTGTCGTCATCGCAGCGAAAAATAAACTATAGATAATATAATACGTTAATAAAAAATAAAAAAATTGTCTAGTCACATCCTTCAGGTTTGGTGCCATTTTCTCATAATTTTTTTCGGTCACTTATATTAGAGGTTTAACTAATAAAATTGAAAAACAAATTTAAAAATATGATATAAATGAAATCAGATTTGAGAAAAAATCTATTAATAAATTAGATAAATTATATAGTAGAACTAAGGATATCATTCCAAAAGAAAAATTAACCTATATTGTTTATAAAATACAATGCGAGGATTGTGAAAATAAAGCATATTACGGACAAACCTCACAATGGTTTGAACGTAGGATACAGCAACATAAACAAAATTGCAGGTCTAAAACGACAAAATCAAAATTAGCCACAGGATTATCGCAGCATATCACAAAAAATGGACATAAATTTGATTTCGGTACTGCTTCCGTGTTGCATAGAGAACAGAATATTGCGAAACGTAGAATAATTGGATCCATTTTTATTACTAAAAGTCTCAAACATTCGTTGAATCAACAGACAGATGTTGATAATTTAAACACGTTTTATGCTAGCTCAATAGACAAAATTAATATATAAAAAATACTGATATAAAACAGCTGATCCCTAACCCCTCCACCCCAATCCTTTTGTAAGTAAATCCAGTCCTGTATGAATGCCCTAGTGAGGAGCAACAATTTCTTGATATCGTCTGCAAATAGAGGTATATAAATCGAGAATAAATGATTTCTTTTTAAAAATAATATTAACAATTTATTTTAATTTATTATTTATATATTACAATTTTTAGAAATGAAAAACGACATTCTTTGAAATAAAAGAATGACTTAAGGACGAATCATATCGCAATGATAGATTTTAAACATTTTATGGCGCGGTGCATGGTAGGTGGATGATATAAATTTATTAAAAATTTAAAAATAAATTTTGGACTAATTGTTATTACTTATGGTTGTTAAATAATATGTGTCTGATAAGGATGTATTTGAATGGTTAAAAACTAAATTAAAATTGGTTTTGCAGGATCTTGAAAATGGCTCCTGAAGCCGAAACGTTGAATAAAGAATACAGGAGATAAAAAAACTGTGTATATTTGGTGTCCTTTGCCCTAAAATAGATATATGAAAAATTATTTTAAAAAATTGTATAAAAATATATACATCACCTATTGCTTGAATTATTTTCATGAAAACGCAAGAATTAAGAAGATTTTGTCAGTCATGTAGTACAATAAGGATAAATTAACATAAAGCCTGTATAAAAAACACTGGTTCATTATCACTTCAGATGATAAATGTTTGAAAAAGCAGTATTTTAAAAATATTTTTTATTATAAATATAAAAAAAATATATTTTAATAGTTATGTTTATAATCTTTACCAGATAATATAATATAAAAAAAAATAAAGCTTTGCAATAATTGTACTGCTGTCGTTTCTACTGAATACATAGATACGATCGGGTGACAGGATATCAAATCATATTATGTTTTATACACAACTACAGATGAATCTGAACGTATTCAGTAACAAACCTCATCGTACAGTAATATAGATTACAGTAAGTAATATAGATTATAGTAAGTAATATAGATTTAAAGTTTATTAAATCAGCGAGTTTTTCTAAAAATTGGTTATCTGTAGTCTAGTTGAAGGGAAACAATAAAAAAATTACGAATAATCCATTATTTTAAGAAAAATAGAACTCGTCGTAGATCAGCCACTTAAAAGTCCCTTTCGAATGGTTTTGACAAATACAAAGTAATCCTAACTTAAAAAAAAAAACCTTTGAGAAATAATACATTAAAATCATTAGAGGAGTTTTAAAAAAAACAGTTTATTTTCTCAATTGCCTAAAATTAATTTTTATGTCCCTTCATTTTTACTAAAATATTAATTTCAATATGAACTATTCTAACATTGTGAAGTTTAAAATAAAATAAATATGTATTTTTTTTTTTAATCTGTTTAATGATTCGCATTTCGCTCTTTTTCATTCAGATTTTTTACATTGGGTTTTTTTTTTTTACTGAATAAGAGTTTTTTATAACAATTTTGTTCTAGTTTCCATAATATCTAATATCCAATAATATAATATCTAATATCCAAGTTCCATATAAGTTACTTTCAGTGATCATCTAACTATAAATAATTAATATAAAAATGAGTTTTTTAGAGTTAAAGGGCCATACAAATCGATTTCTGTCTGAGAATCCGATATTTGGAGATTTATTTTATCGGGATATATATATATATTTGGAAATTAACTGCACAGAGTGTATTTTGAAAGTGACATAATAGGAGTCATTTTACATCATTATGCAATTCGAGGGGAATAGGTCACTTCTGTAAAATTGATGTCTCGTCAACGGTCCTTGTTTAATTTACTTTCTGACTTAATTTATAACCAATTTTATATATATATATATATATATATATATATATATATATATATATATATATATATATATATATATATATATATCTTGTTTATTTAAACAAGCAAATTTAAAAAAAAATAAATAAAATTATAAATAATTAAATATGATTCATGCCAAAGAGTAAAAATTATTATATTTTTTTTAGTATTTTGATTATTATAAATTGGTATAAAATAAATTAACCCATGGTAGTATCAGGGGGATTGGAATTATACCTATTTAACACTTTTTTTGTGTTTTAAATCGTTAGCGAATCCACTATTGAATAATTTTATTGTTTAACAGCAAATTTCCAATTTTTTTTTTTAGATAGCAGAGTTTAACCAACTAATTTCGAAAAAGTTTCTATTTATGCTCCATTATGAGAGATATGTTTGAGGAGAAAATAAAAAACCAGTCCACTAATTGACATTGCTAACACTATTTCATAAGTCAGTTTTGAACCAGTTTAAAAGAAGCCTTAAATGCACTGGATATGGTATCAGTCCATTTAAAAATTTAAAAAAAAAATTTAATCAAAATAGCTTCGGTTAGCTTCAAAAGATTTCTCATAATGCCCAACTAAAATTTTTATCACTTATTTGAACATTTTTTCCTTTGAATTAATATACTCGAGGAATGAAAAAAATACTTTTTTGTCTTGGAACTTTTTTATGTGTCAACAAGAGCTGTGGAAAAAAAAGGTACATGTATTTTTTAAAAAATTGAATGGTTATGGTTATTACATAAGGTAAATTGAAAATTTAAGTTCTTAAGTATCGATCATATTCATCTTGCTTCTTTGTAACTAGTTATATTTTTTTTCAGACACATGGAGAAACAAAACTAAATACAAAGAACAAGATGACAATCATATCTTCGCCTCCCTCTCAAGAATTTTTATTGCTCTTCTCTTCATAAAAACATTGCGAACGAAAGGGCAATAGCATTAGGAAAAATACATATGCAATTACTTTTTCTGCGGTCTGTTCCATGTTTTCCCTTGTTCTCTGGTTTGAATGTTCCTCCAAATTGTAACCCCACGAAAATATGGCCATATAAAACTGTTAATGGCTCAGCTTGAGCAATGCCACCATCTTAACATTAAAACTGTTTGTTTGATACTATGTGGACGCGGAGTTTGATGCTCTAAAGTTTTTATTCTATGAGTATTTCCTCTTAGAGAATTCATTTCCAATCTGCAGAGCTATTTATAGTAATTTTTTCTTTTTTTTTGCTTTAAGACTTGTAAAAGCAAGTCCTGTTTTGCCAATAAAATATTTTAATTGTCATTGTAAAATGAAATTATACTGTATATAGTAAATTATCTCAATATTTGATATAGTAAATTATCTCAGTATTTGATATAGTAAATTACATATGATATAGTAAATTACATTATCTCAGTATTTGATATAGTAAATTATCTCAGTATTTGATATAGTAAATTATTTTAGTATTTGATATGGTAAATTAGTGTACTGGATATAGTAAATTAGTGTACTGGATATAGTAAATTATCTCAGTATTTGATATAGTAAATTATCTCAGTATTTGATATAGTAAATTACATTTGGTAAATTATCCCAGTATTTGATATAGTAAATTGCATATGATATAGTAAATTACATTATCTCAGCATTTGATATAGTAAATTAGTATACTGGATACAGTAAATTACATTATCTCAGTATTTGATATAGTAAATTAGTATACTGGATATAGTAAATTACATTATCTCAGTATTTGATATAGTAAATTAGTATACTGGATATAGTAAATTATCTCGGTATTTGAAGAATTTGGTAACGATCAGTGTTCTTTGGCCGTGGTTATCGACCATACCACTTAACCAAGTTATTAAGTTTAGGTACTCGTTAGACGCACAATTTAACGTTCTTTAATTCCTTAAAGAGTACTTATTTTGATTCGATGTACCGTTTAGGAATAATAGATGAAAAAACAAAAAAAGTTTTTAAAAAATACTTTTTTAGCTGTATAAAGGTTTTTTCCTTGATGGCCCGCGTGAGAATTTTTTTTACCTGTTTAAACTTACATGTATACAAGTTAAAAAAATAAAACATTTCCCACATTTTTCGCAATGAATTTATTCCCCTTTTCGATCATCAAGTTGCTGTTATAATATTGTTTAAATCAGCCGCCATTTTTACATGCAGCAAGATCAGACTGGCACTCTCATTTTTTTTTTTAATTTAAATGTTATAAATATTTTTTTTAAAAATGCTTTTCTAATTGTTATCAAATAATGTCGATGTTTTTGGACGGGCACATGAAGTGACGTTATCAAATAATAATAATCTACAATGTAAGTATCTGGGTCTTCATTGTAGAATTAAGAATCATCTACTTGTAAAACAAAAAAAAAAACGGTATCTTACAACTACATACCAAAAGGTTACATGCCCATCATAGGTTACAGTGACACAGGTTTATTTTATGCGAAATTGATATTTTATGCCCAAAATATTCAATTCTGAAATGGAATGTACCCTGAGAAAA